GGGTGTGGTGGTCAGCTCCCTCTTCCCTAAATTTCTCATCCCATCTTCTTTGTCAGAGGGAGAAGAAGAGGCAAGACCCTCTTCACCCTTGCTGCAGGGAACAGTGAAACACCTTCAGCCTGATGAGGCTCAGGCCTTATCCTTGCTTCTGCGTCCACGGGATGACACCCAGCAGAGGAGGATAAGCCTCTGTGGGGTGTGAGAGCACAAGAAGATGCTGCAGGAGGAGTGGGAGGCAATGCTGGACACTTCTTTTTGCAGAGCCATAACCTGGCAGTTATATCACCGCCCAGTTTTTTCCCTTATCCCCAGCATTAGGACGAGAGGATATGGCCTCAAGTTGCATCAGGGGAGGTTTCGATTGGATATTAGGAAAAATTTCTTTACTGAAAGAGCGGTCAAGCATTGGAACAGGCTGCCCAGAGAGGTGGTGGAGTCCTCATCCCTGGAGGTGTTCAAAAAAGGTGTGGATGTGGCACTTCGGCACATGGTTTAGTAGGCCTGGTGGTGTTGGGTTGACAGTTGGACTTCATAATCTTGGAGGTCTTCTCCAACTTCAATGATTCTATGATTATTTTTTGGCCTGCTTTCAAGGCTTGTCCTGCTGCTTGAGCTGCTGGGTGTCTAGTGTGGAATGAGAGGAATGGATGTTCATTAACACTGAACCCAAAGGGAAGGGAAACGTCAGGGATAATGGGATAGAGGTGCTGGGGAAGGTGTTGGCTCCTGCCAGTGCTGGGCACAGCTGGTTGGGAGTGTTTCATCTTGCTTCGGAGGCTGAAGGAAAAGGCCTATGTTAAGAGACTTGTTTACTTAGACATCCTTGGAGAAAGTGGGGAGGGAGAGAACATTCTCCATGGGATGGTTGACAGGAGGGCCCATGAACTGCCCCGTGGGGAGCCTCTTTGTGTTCTTACCTGATGGGCTGCCCACCAGTGCTGGCATCGCCCATGCGTGCCTGTAGCTAGTCGGGTGGTATCTCCTCTCTTTCCGTGCTCAGGTTGCTCACTTTGATGTGCTGGATTTCAAGACACGCAAACAGCTCCTCCTGTTTCTTGTTCTGGCAGCTGTGTAAGACCCTGAGTTCCTTAAGGATGGAGTAATGCCTTGCTGTCAGTAAGATTCCCACCGGCAGGCTGGGAAGCTGCCCAGCTTTCCAGGGAAGCTTGCAAAATCTCTTGTAACACAGCGCTGCCTCGTGCAATCAGCGCATTGCCTGGCGGCAGGCGTCCATCTCCCTGGCAAGGAGCTGCCTCATCGTCCCCTTCCCCACTGCCACAGTTACGTTTCCTTCCAGATTGTCCACCAAAATGATTCGAGTGGAGATGTTCACGCTGGTAGGTCCACAGGTTTGCTTCCTACAGCTTTGCACTCCCTGCCCTGGTGCTGTTTAAAGAGCTCTCTGAAGCTCAGCTCTGAACTCATTTCACTTCAGAGGTGCCCTTCCTATAGCTACTTGAGCAAAGTCCCCAATTCCTGGGGGCTTTCCTCAGTGTTTTGTGATGGGCACAAAACATCAGAGCCAATGGATCGGCCTCAGGGTCGTGGCGGGGAAACCTCTCCCCTGCTGGGAGGGTGGGAAGGGGCCCCCTCCCAGCACTCAGGGTCCGGTTGGATCAGACTGCAACCTGCAGTCCTGGCCACGGGGAGGTCAGGAGCTGAGCTCGTGCCACTTCTAGCAGACCTCAATGCCAATCCCCAGCAGAGTAGAACCAGCCATTTAAAGGAAATACAAAAAACAACTGGTTTTGCAGCAAATGAAACTTTTCTGATTCCTTTCTTGCTCCAGGCCTTCCTTCTCTCTCCCTTCCAGGAGCAAGAGAGGAGAAGGTTTTGGGACACCCTCTATGTTTCAGTAGCTTAAATCAGAACATCAAAGAAATTATCCTGGAGCCGTTATCCCACATGCATCAAGTTGTCCTGGCCTGGCTCACAAGGCAGAAGTCGAGGACTGCTCAACACCACAGGCTCCTTGGATTTGTCTGCCCCTGGAGAGACCCATAAGGAGAGGGGCCAAATCCAGGTCCTCACCTGCCACCGGTCTCCTGCATGGGCACGTGCCAGCTGGTTCATCTTGTTGGGCTGCTGCATGAACAATGTGAGATCTTCACGGCCAGCACAAGGACAACGGGACACGGAGCATCATCCTGCAGGACCCCAATGCTCCAGCTTACCAGCTGGGAAGCCAGGGAGGAGTGCTTGGGAAAGGCACGGCTGTGCACCGACCTGCTGACCGACAGCCCTCAGGTGTCCCCGGTGGTCTTCTCAAAGGTGCTGTGAGTAATGTGGGCTGGGGGTAGGGACCGTGCACAGACACCTCTGACTGCGAGATAGGGATGCGTCAGGCACCAGGCATTAACACGTATGGGTTTGAGGCTGCATGTCCATCTAGATGGGTATTATTCCTGGTCCCCGAGGCCTCAGCTAGGAGCAAGTCCCACCATCATGGGCAGGACAGCGCAAGATGCAGCTGACCTGCAGCTGCCATGAGAACGGGCAGCAAATGTCACATTGCAGCGAGGCACTGGGGATTTTATAGCAGATCCAGTAACTCAGCTGCCTGCCCGTTCCCATTGCTGGCATGTGCCCAGCACACGCACCCACCGGAGCCTTCATGCTAATAATTTGGTGGTGGGTTTTTTTCTGGCATGGGTGGGAGCAGGGATGATGTCCAGCTGCAATCTCCACTCTCCTTGCTCTGTTCCTTCTCCTGCACCTCCTGCATGGTCCCAGGGCATGGGATGTCTCAGCCTACATGCCACATGCCCAGACTGGCTTTAAATTAAGAAGCTGAAGCTCTAGGAATAGTCTGGCTGCATGGAGCTCAGTGTGGACTACTCTGCCCCATTCTCAACAGGTAGATGAACTTGCTCTGAGTCCCCCACTGCCATGGCCAGATTGCTCTCCCGTACAGCAACTTAACAGCCCACTAGGGAATCTTAGCAAGCCTCTTCTGCAGTAGGAGGGCTGATGGAGCTTCCTTTTCCTTCGAAGCCACTGGTAAAGAGCAGTGATCGAGGCCGGAGTCCAGCTGGAAGCATAGGACCTCTGCTGCCATCTCCATTCTCGCAGCAGGATGAGCTGCCAGGGGCAGGGTAGCTGGCTCAGGCCTCTGCGGTCCATCACTTGGGCTCTTGCAGCTGTGCAAGGGCAAACCAGTGGTCAAGTGTCCACTGGATGTGTGACATCTCCAGCCTCCTTGGCTGCAGAGATGGCGTTCCTCTAGAGGTTTTGCTTTTCAACACTCGCTGGGGGAAGGGCGGTGTGTCTTTTCCAGGAGCCCCTGAGAACGAGCACAAGGAGTTTTATGCAAGATCACAGCAAGGTGTTCAGGTCTGTCTCTTCACGACATGTGAAGGTTAAAGGCAGGCTCTCAGCTTTCTACTGCTAATGACAGAAAGTGCTATGTAAGTGAGAGAGAGCCTAATTAGGGATTAATGAGAAAGGAGCCTGTGGTTTTATTATCCATTGGACATGAGTACTGTGGATGAGCAAGAGAGGTTGCATTAGCTGCTTC